AACAGTGGAGGGATAAATGACTAAAGAACTGTGGTCTGCCTGTCCACACAACGGAATCTTATTCAGCCTTAAAAAGGAGGAAGTCCTGTCACATGCTACAAGGATAAGCCCTGAGGACACTATGCTGAGTGAAACGGACCAGTCACAAAAAGATAAATACCACGTGATCCCACTTACGAGAGATCCCCGGAGTAGTCACATTCGTAGAGACAGAAAATGGCATCGTGGGTGCTGGGCTGAGGGCGCATGGGGACTTGAATGGGCATGAAGTTGCCATTTTGCAAGACAGAAAGGCCCCAGCACTGTGTGGTGCAGCAACGTGAATGCCTGTGAACTCACACGTCATTACGATGCTACATTTCATGCCATGTGCTTTCCAACAATTTTAACAAAAGGGACAGGGATGTTGTGTGCTGGGCACTTGCTGCGGGGGGGGAGGAAAAAAGGCTGTCCTCTGAGGGGTGAGCCGGGCTCCCGAGGCAAGGACTGGCCTGGCCTCCAAGGCCCACCCTCCTCCTCTGGTGACACCGGCCTGATTATTGCACCGACCTCCAGACCATCTCCCATCTGCTCCATCGACCTGCCCACATCTCTGTCTCTGTCCTTGCCCCACAGCCCGGAATTCCAGCACGGAGGCTTCCCTCCCTCCAGAAGGCTTCCTAGGGTGCTTGCAATGCAGCCTCCTTCCTCACCCGGCAGCCTCTCTAACCCCTCGATGTGCAGAGCGAGGGCAAGGGAAGAGGAGGAACCGGGCAGGCGGACAGGTGGCATGGCCTTGGTGGGAGCTGCCTTGGCCTGTGTTGAAGTTTCAGGGCTGGGCTGAGTGGGCTGCACCAAGATAAGGCCCCCAAAAGGCTTTTGGCTCAGGAAGCAGGCAGTCCAGCCCAGAGGCCAGAGCTGTATGAGGCCTACAGCCTCCCTGTCCCCCTCCAGGCCTGCGCCCTCCTCCTTCTGTAGCAGACAGCGATGCTCCGCCCAAGAGCGGCCCCCTGCTAGGCGCTGGGTCCACACTTAGCTCTGCCCACCTCCTACCTGCACAGGAGGGTCAGGGAAGCCAAGAACCCATCCTCACTCACGCCAAGCCTCCGGGGCCCCCAAGTGGAGGGGACCAAGGAGCTTTCGCACCTGGGAGGGGTCAGCAGGCTGGGACTGTCTAGACGGCTTCCAAGTGGAGTCAGCGGCAGCTGGGCCAGGAAGGATGCCCAGAGTCCACGCACAGTATCCTCTGAGGAACCTGCATCCCGCCCGGGGCTGGGAGAGGCTCTGAGGAGAGCGGCCAGGCCGTGGTGCTGAGGAGGACGGCTCCAGCTCTCTGTGGAGGATTTCCTGGAGGGAGCAAGACCAGTGGGGGTGGGGAACCTTTACTCCCTCCCTTCATTGTCATGCCCTCCCACCAGGACCTCTCAGAACGGCTAGTCTCCATCTGCTAGGACCAGAGCTAGCTGGCAGACTGTCTCTCCAGTGACAACACGCTTTGTAAACTGTCATGTGCCCTGCGAACTGCAAGGTGCTGTGTAAACTTTAAAGTGCCCAATAGACCACAAAGTACTTTGCAAACTGTCATGACTTCTGTAAAAGACAAAGCCCTTTGTAGATTGCCACATGTCCAATAAGTCACAAGGGGCCCTGGGAGCTGCAGTGTGCCCTGGAAACTGGAAATCATCTTGTAAACTGCTGTGTGCCCCCACGGACCTGCTCTGCAGACACAGCAGAGCCCTTCATAAGCTGTCATAGGCCCTGTAAGTTGCTCTGTTAACTGTAGTGCCTTCTACCCTGCAAAGCACTCTGTAAACTGCAAGACACTCTCTAAGGGACAGAGCACCTTATACACTTTTGAGTGCTCTGTGAGATGCGGACTACGCCACCAACTGGCACGAGTGCTGTGTGAACACCAGTGTGAACCTCAAAGGGCTTTGTAAACTGTAAAGTGCGATCCAGATGTGAGGAGTGACTCTTTGCAACTGTGCCACTGGATGGCACCCCTACCTCTCACCCACCTCAGAAGAGGCGGGAGGAGGCTGAGCGGAGGCAGAAGGGTGAGGGCACAGGGTTAGGAGACCCAGGTCTGTCCCGGGGCTCACACCTCCAGTTGCAGCCACCAGGACCCCTCCAGAGACGGCACTGTGAAAGAGGCCCTAGCGTCCAGGGAGGAAACAGCCACTGCTGGGCTCTCCCTCTGCGGTGCTGTTCTGGGGGACAGCAATTCACTCTTGCCAGCTGCTCATGTCAGCAATGCATCCCCTGAGGGAAGGACGCCCCCACTGAAGGTTAAGCAAGCACTGGACAGGCGGGGGAAGGCATGCTGAGGTAGGCTTTCGTGCTCCATGCCACAGGCAGTGGGGAGCCATCAAAGGTTCTTGAGCTGGAGAGGCTTGATCAGAACCTGATAGAGGATGGGTTGGGGCCCACCAAGGTGTCACGAGCTTGTCACAGAAGCAGTAAGTATGGGTGAAGATGGTTTTAAAGCTACCTCTCTACTGGACTGGGGACCTGAATGGGGCTGAGTGGAGGGGAGTTACCTTCCTGAAGCAGACCAGGGGCTCAGGAACCAGGGGCTGGCCTCAAAGGATAGAAGATGGGCTCTGTGTCTGATTAGGGAGGTTCCTGCTGGTACTTTACTTTTCGCTGGGGCGAGTACAGAGGCCTTGAGATGGCTGGAGGCGCAGGCCTGATGCAAACCCCTACAGGGTCTCTTACCCTGACCAAGGATGCTCTCAGTGCTGATCTACAGATCATTCTTCCAGAGGAGCACCTGGCTCACTGTCAGCAGGCACAGGTGCGTCGCTGTCACCCGAAGAGGGCAGCCGTGTGGCCCCACTGGCCTAGTGGTTCCTGGTCCTCCGATGTCTCTGTCATTCTGTTAATGCGCTCATTCACTCATGCCTGTTGACCACCATGCACAAGAGGTGTCAAGGCGCTCCTTCTCCTCAGGCCAGACTCCGTGCACCATGTAAACACTGAGGCAGAGATGCCAGTCCACAGGACAGTGGAGGGTTGCTCCTTATGTGAGAGCTCAGAGGGCTTCCCAGAGGAGGTGAGGTAGCAGGCTGGCCTTGAAGAATACGGAGAAGGCCCAGAAGAGGAGAAGAGAGTGCAGCACTCATTTTTGAAATGGGCCTTCGCATCTCAAAGCGCCTCAGCTAGACTGTCACCCTTGTCTCCAGATGAGTCTAAGGGGTCTATCTGACTGTGTGTGGCTCCTCTGTGGGGCTGGGTGTGGGGAGAGGGTGCAGAGAGACGCTGGGAACAGACCCAGATTCTGAGACCCTGTTGGGATGTCTCTCCATTTCTAATTTTTCTAGGGCCCCAGAATGATGGGAGAGGCTCCTGCTGTCTCTGACTGTCTCTGAAAGGTCCTGGCCTGGAGCACGTTGCCTTCCAGCCCCTCTTGTGATCTTTAAGAAAGCAGGAGGGAGATTCAGACCGCTCCACTGCTGGGTCTTGCTCTAAGCCTTTGAGGATGGCCCCTCCCTGGGCAGCCCCTCCACACCCGCCCAGCCCAGCCCGGATAAGTCTTTGGCGTGGGTGCCACCTGCCCCCAGAGCCTCCTCAGCCTCCCCTCCCCAAGCTGTGTCCCCTCCCTCAGCACTGCTCGCCCGATATTGTTAGCCATGTCCCCCACCAGACTGGCTGTGCTGATCCCGGGCCAGGCACATAGTAGGGGCTCAATAAATATGACTGAGTGACGGACGAGACAGCAGAGGCACGGGCCGTCCTGTCTCTGCTGTTAACTCACACCGTGAGCCCCTGAGTAAGCCCACTCACCTCTCTGGACTTCAGGCCCTTTGGGTGAAATGGAGGCACACATCCCTGAGCTGCCTGCTCCCCAGGGCTGCTGTGATGCTGAGACACATCCTGTAACCCAGAAACATAGACAGTGTCTACAAAGCCGGGAGGTTGGGGCAAAGGTCAGGCATCGTCAGGGGAGAAGTTTGCGGGGCCGCTGGATCGAGAGGCTGCGGTCTGAATGTTGTGCCCCCTCAAATTCGTGTGCTGAAATCCTCACCCCCAAGACGATGGTAGCAGGAGATGAGGCCTCGGGGAGGCGATGAGGTCATGGGGTGAAGCCCTCGGGGATGGGACGAATGTCCTCAGACAAGAGGCCCGGGAACCCCTCACCCCTTTCCGTGTGGAGCTGGAGAAGACGGCCGTCTGGATGCAGGGGGTCCCCCCAGACACGGCATCTGTTGGTCCTTGATGACGGGTTTCCCTGCCTCCAGGACCGTGACACATTTCTGCTGCGTATAAGTCACCCAGTCTGTGGTGGTTTGAACAGCCTAAGAGACAAGGTGCCCCGAGCCAGGTGGCTTCAACAACAGAAGTGGAGCATCTCCAGTTCTGGAGGCCAGACGCCTGAGAGGACGGCGTGGGCGGGGGAGGACCTGTTCCAGGCCTCTCTCCTCATTTCTGGGGGTCCCATGACCTGTGGCAGCACAGCTGCGAGCCTCACACATCATCCTGTGTGCCAGGCTGCGTCCAAGTCTCCCCCTTGTATAGAGACCCCAGTCACATCTGATGGCTCCCCCCATAGTGCGACCTCACTTAACTAATTACATCTGCCACAGTGCTGTTTCCAAAGAAGGCCCGGCTCCAGGGTCCGGGGGATGAGGACTTCAACACATGAATGTGGGGGACGTGTTCCGCCCACAGCACCTGATGGCGTATTTCCTCAGCCGCCTGTCGTCTCTCCTTCCATCACTTCACTGAGCCCTCCTGCCCCGCCAGAGGCATTTCCCATGATCAGTGGGTGTGCAGGTGTGGTGGCACACGCATCAGGGCCAATCCAGCCCTCAAGAGAAGCCAGGGAGGCCCACCCCAGCAGGTCACTGGGTCCCCAAGGAGGTCAGATTCTACCTTCACTGCCCTTGGGGGAGAAACCTGTGTGCCTGGTTTCTCCAGGGGCCCGAAGTGCTGACGGGACAGTGTCAGCGTGCCATGCAGTGCCGGGCCCTCTGGCATTCCCTGCTGAGCACTGCCCTCCCGCTCTGCCTCCCCCGCAGCGTCCCACCCTCCGTCCAGAGCCTGGAGGATTCTGAATCAGCCAAGAGAACCATGTCAGAAGATATCCAAGGAAGTCTCTCCTCGCTGGTCCTGGGAGACAAGGTGGAGAAGGACTCTTTTCCCGAGGCTGAGAAGTAGGTTGTCACACCGGCAGAATGGGCGTGGCTCACAGCGGGGCCCTCACCCTCACCACAGCCCACAAAGGCCACCTTGGGGCGATGTAGCCTTGGACAAGTCACTTCCCCACCCAGGGCTCGGGTTATCTCCCCAAATCCCCGCCTCCAGCCCTTTATCAACCCCATGTCCAGTCGGGTGGTGGAGATGAGGCCTTCTGTAGACCTTGTCTAAAAAACAGCCCATCAGTCCAAGAAGGATGGAGACTCCCCGCTGTCTCCCTCAAGAAACTTGCTGCAGCTATCAAAAGTTCACGCACTTGTCCGTGGTAACTGTGAAACAGTCCTGTGTTCTGCAAACCACACCCCCCCATGGAGATAGAAAATCAAAACTAGGAGCATGCAGAAAGGTCACAGGTGCCTCCGGGACCCCTGGGAGGAGCACCCAGACAGCCTCACCTGTGCAAGGGAGAGGAGTGCAACCCCCTCACCTGGCCAGGCCCGGGTTCCGGGCACTGTACAGACCAGCCCCTCCCAACCCTCTCAGTATTTGCTTCTCTCTGTCTCGGTATGTAGGGCGAAAGAGCCGGAAGCAGAGCCACATCCTCTCGGCAAAGCCAGGAGGGGCAGCAAGACCGGCGGGAAGAAGCTGGCCTCCAAGAAGTGATGCCGCCCTGGTGGCCACCGCCTGCCGGGCCCCAGGCCTGGATGCTGCTCCTCCCGCTGGCCCAGTCCTGTGTGGGTCTGCAGCCTCCCACCCCCTCCTCCAAGCCTCTGTGCAATAAACGAGCGTGCCTCCAGCGTCTGGGGAGGCTCTGGGGGAGGCTGCAGCAGGCCTGCATCAGTCTGGCTTCTGCACGGCCAGAGGCTGACAGCCTCGTTCCAGGACCAGTGCTTGGAAACTCAGTTCCTCTAACCCAGAGCTCCCTCTGGGGCCGGTCAGGTCCCTTGAGACCTCCCCCCTCCAAGGAAGCAAGGCCTCATTCCAGGGGCCGAGCTCAATGACAGAGTGACCCCCAGGTAAGCCCCATGGGGCTGAACTGTGCCATCCTGCCCTGCATGGGGTGGGGGGAAGGGGGAAGGCTCAGATTCTGGCCCAGGTGGAAACAGAGTGGCAGACAGCAGGGGGGGTTCAGAGGGGGATGGGGTGGGGAGGGGGG